AACTCAGAAGAGAGTTCTTCCAGGCTTGTGAGCAAACAATACTACTAAAGCATTTAGCATTCCCCTGAATGTGACAGTCCTTCCAGAGAGGAGTATAATTAGATCTTGCTCTTGACTACTGATGCTGGTGCACACTTGTAATCATCTGTAATCCCAGCATTTGTGAGACTGAGGGATGAGGACTGCAGTGAGTTCTGGGCCAGTATGGGCCACACAGTGAATTCAGGACCCTCTCTCAAAAACAAACAAAACAAACAAACCCTCAGTCTTTCAGCAAGCAAGCACAGTTTTGGTACCCAAAACTGTGGAAAACAAATTAAATGGTAGTGCTACTTTGAAAAACTCCTCCTCTTCAAAGAAGATAAGTACAATGATTTCTTTTAAAGACAGCCTTCACCATCCTACAGGATCTACCAGATAAATCTTTCACTTGAAAGGTCCACTCTTTCCTGATAAGATTTGCATTTCCAAGAGATTCACAGCCAGCTTGAGAGATACCTAGACTGTTTATAGCTAACTTAAGTTAGGTCAATCAGAACTGACAAAATCGGAAAGACCAAATATACAGGATAGATGGATCAAGGAAGGTGTGAACTATACACATCTATCAAATCCCTTATCCCAACCCATTACTCCTTTGCCATTTTATTTTAAATCTTTCCCCAAGCCCATCTATTTCTCTGTCTCTTCACACACATGCCTACCCTCTTTCGGGCAATGTCCTTTGCCTGGCCTTGCGGACCCACCAGCACATCACTTTTGCCACAGAAAGTTTTAAGTGGAAAACTGTTTTTCTTATCTTACATTTTTTCTTTTAAGGATTAGAGTAATTCCAAAATAACTCAAATCATGTTTCTACTTTTGGCACTGTGAAGCTGACCATGACTTATCCTGGAATCTATTGGGTAGTCATACAAAATGAATTCCTATTAGGTCTTATCTAATTATCAGAGAGCACCACCCACGTCACGAACTCGATAATTTCTCATGTACCCCACTAGCCAAAAACCAGGTCAGAGGATCTCGAGTTAACAAACTCAGAATATGCAGATCAGCGATCTGTGGATGTTGATGCAATGGCAGGATGTAGCAGACACTGATATTGCAGCTCCCACAGCTTCTGAGGCGTTCCACTGTCTATTCTTCAGGGGGAAAAGGCATAAAGTTCTAAAATCTTTGCCTGTAGCGCTGCATTCATTCAATTGTAGAGGCTGGGTCTACTATGTACCTCTTCAGTGAAGACCTTAATTACTTCAGGACTCTCCCTTAAAAAGGAGCTGCTGCATTCTGCACAGCTGCTGCAATGGCAGGGAAATTCCCTGTGACATTAGAGACAGGTAAATAAACTGCATTCGCTCCAAGGCGGGGGCGGGGGGGATGGTTGGGGGGGATGGTTAAACTCTGGTAGTTTACATAATGCAACCAAAACCCAGCGAGCTCTGCAGACCTGTCAAAGGAGATGCGAGGATGGACTTCCCTTCCCAACAACTCCGAACACACGCCGGTAGCCTGTCCTTTACTTCCAGAAGATCCACAGAACAGCACTCCAGAGGAGCAATCGGCGTACACTCCACCCCATGCTCTCCTACCCACTTTTATTATTATTACTAAAACACGAAAAAGAAAGATATCCTAACCTCCCACTTCTGAGTCCCAAGTACGGAGTAACCAAACAGCCGGGGAGATTTTTGCTCCTTCGGAGAGGGAAGGAGAACAAGGCGCTGTCTCAAACGTACACCACGCCCAGGATAGCAGTGACAAGCTCGGAAAACTCCACGGTGGTCCAGCGGCCCGCCCACCGCCTGGCCGCGCTCCGACCCCGGGCTCGGCCCGGCAGCCGTCTCTCCCCCGGTCGCTCACAAAGGAGAATGGTTCAGTCCGGAGCATCACCCAGCACCTGATCCCCACGCCGGCGGACGCGGAGGGGGAGCGGGCGAAGGCGGGCGGCAGAGTTACGGAGATCAGCCTCCTCCCGAAAGCCCCCGGCACCGGCGCCGAGGAGCAGGCGCGAGCAGGAAGCCTACCTGGACATGTCCTGCGCTTCCGTCTCAGCCAGCATTTCAGCTCACCCTCTTAGAGAACAAGGCGCCTTCCGGCGGAGCGGGGCCAGCCCTCGCCTCACTCTACCTTGCTAGTAGTCCGTTCGCGCTGCGGCCCACCCACCTTCACTCCACCCGCCAATCTCAGAGCCGGAACCGGCCCCTTCCAGCGTGTTAGTGTGAGCACCACCAGGAAGTCTCTCGAGGGTGGGAGGTCCTACAGGGCTGGGAAGGGTCCTTAGGCGGCCACGGATATGCCCAACGGAAAATAGAATCCGGCGCGCTGACGGCTCAGTTCGCTGGTGGGCGGGCCTCTCGGCATCTTTACTCGGCCCCCGCCGTTGGGGGCGCCCTACGCAGAAACTGCGCTTAAATTACCTGTTTCTGGGGAGCCATCTTGGATCAGCCGGCGCTTTGCTGTCGGGGAGGGGAAGGAGGCCTGGAGGGATCTTAAGCCCTTTCCGGCTCTCTGTCCAGCTGGTTAGGTATCAGGTCCATCCGCAACACATTCTCTTACGTAGTTATGCTGTCCCTCAGTCATGAGAGGAACTCTGGAAAAACGCTAAATGGGATTAAAGGCAAACACCACCACCACCCTCTTAACTAGGAGCGATGAGGTTTTGTAAAATCAAAGATTAGTCAAATACGGGTACGTGTTACTAATTCCCAGGGTAATCCTTTCTAAACACCTTACGGAGGAGCACATTAGCACAAGTTATGTGTCTATTCTAGACGTTTACTTGCCGTTTCTGGTGTTCTGACTTTAGCTACATAGATTACTGAGTCACTTCAAAATAACAAACTCAAAGAATGTCGGTATTTTTTCTTCTGCAGTACTGGAGATTGGACTCAAGGACTTCACACTGAGCAACATCTCAACCATTTTAAATTTTCTGAGACCTCGTCTGAGTCTCTGAGTTGCCCAGGCTGAGCTCAAAACTGAGATATCTTCCTGGTTCAGCCTCCGGGAACGCTGAGAATAAGGTGGTGGCACCATGCACAGATCCATTTTAAAAGGCCTACCTACAGATATCACTAGAGCCAAACTATTCATGAATACATGTACTGCAAGCTATAGAAGACCTACAGAAAAATTACATGTCAAGAGAGACACCATTAGGGGGCAACCAAAAAGTCATCTTTGCCTGAATTTAATTGGAAAGAAAATACTTTCATTATAGGTGAAAATGCATTCAATGAGAAACGTTTTCTTCTATTTCCTAATGTAAATCTCTACTGCTTATTACATTTTTCTACAGGAAGTATTTTTAAAACCTCATGAAGGATAAATTTGAGTCACTTGTAGGAAAATGGATTGTACTTTGAGACCATAATGTTAAGTAGAATAAATCAAGACATACAAGCTAAAATCTCATGGTTTCTCTTATATAAGAAATACAAAGTATAAATAAAGCACAAGTAAAATAGGAAAAAAGGGAGACAGATCTTTTGCAAATCAAAAAGGGACCAAGAGATGGAGAAAAAAGAGAAGGAAATAAAAAAGATGTGTTATGTACATGTATCAAGTCCCTACAAATGAGATCATTATATATTGCAAACATGATTTTAAAAACCTCATGAGTCTCAAAAACACAGAAAAAAAGAAAAGCCGGGCATGGTGGCTTATGCCTGTAACCCCAGCACTAGGGAGGCTGAGGCAGGACGATCGTTGCGAATTCGAGACCAGACTGGGCTACAAAGTGAGCTCAAGGCCAGCCTGAACTGCATAGCGAGACCCTGTCTCAAAAAGACAAAAAAAATCTCATGAGTGAAGGCAGTCAAGATTAATTTCCCAAATCATCACAAATGGTCAGCATATATGACAAGAGCTCAGAAAGTATTAGTAGTCATGCATTTTAAGAGTACTATCTGGTCAAATGTATATTTCCAAGTATTTTATTCCTGTACATAGAATAAAATTTGTGGCCAAATTTCAACTACTGATACCATTATACCAAAGTTCTAGGTTAGTATTTACCAGAACGTATCTGTAGATGCATAAACACATATACACATATGTGGTTTATTTTGTTCCTTTTTTTTTAGACCTTTGCACAGAGATATATCCCCAATGCTTACCTTTTTGTGGGGGATACCTGGGATCGAACTCACAACTTCACACTTGCCAGGCAGGCGCTTTTGTCACTGAGCTAAATCCCCAGCCTATCCTCAGTGCTTAAGAATTTTTAGTTTTTGAGACAGGGTCTTGCTAAGTCACTAAACTGCCCAAGCTGGGCCTGAATGTGTCAACATCCTGCCTCAGGTTCCCAGAGTACTCACAGGCATGCACCACCATGCTTGGCTTCAGATATATGCTTAATTATTGATGGTCTCTAGAATAACATCCTACTATCCTGGTTTTCTGGTACAGAATAGACATCAAAGAAACTTATTATGGGCATTAGAGAAAGGTGGAAAGTACATGATCCAATAATTTCTGCTGCCTACACTGATCTTTTGCTATAAATTATATGATTTCCAGAATTCTGAGCCTTCAAAAACCAATTAATACCCAGGTAATCTCTTATTTATGGTTCTACATGTGGAGATGGGAGAGCCACACTCAATTCTTTATGACCAAATGACTCAGAAATACACAAGTCATGAGTTTACAATATATTTGATCTTCTGTTTTCAGTGGAAAAAACACCCAAGCATAGAAAGTTATAAATTGAATGTTATAAATTTGAGTAATAGAAGGAATGCAGGGATTAAAATTTTTTTTAATGCTGCAAAATATCAAAATGGTATCCATTAACTATGAAAGCAGCAGCTCTAGGTGAAAGGCTGTGTTTGACCAACATGACAATGCTTTCTTTTTTTTTTTTTGGTCTTTTTCGTTTTTATCGGTACCAGAGATCGAACTCATGACTGCCTGCTTGGAAAGCAGGCGCTTATGCCGCTGAGCTAAATCCCCAGCCCCGACAATGCTTTCTAAGTGCTAAAGAAAAAGTCAACACAGAAACTGTAAAGCCATATTTAATTTTAACCCTGGGGTGAGGGAACAAAACTCCAAATTCGGTAACCTCAAATCCTTTTTGGAATGAAGTAAGACAAAAAGAAAAAAGCTTAAGTAAGATAGTAGTATCTCAAACATGTTCCCTTCCTATGGCATAGTACTGACCATTACAGAGGCTAGTAGGGCTGGAACCCAGTGTAAAACAAATCCCAAGGAGGAGCCTTCCTCCATATCTCTGGTACAATATCCTAGAAGCAAAGCATCTACTTATTTCTGGAATTTATCAGAAATGACACGTGGAATATTAAGAGCTGAGATACATGCATACATTTAATAATGAAATAATTCGTTAACAAAAATTAGAAAAATTCAGAGACCTCAGTGCTGTGGAAGAGCAACTGATCCAGAAGGCTTATGATGCATGAGGTGAAAGCAAGTATGACCAGTGTTACATACTCAAAAATGGTGAAGGACTGCAGAAGTATCCACTTTTCTGGCTGTTTGGTAGCAGGCAGCCTTACTATGTGCTGCACAGAGTGGAGGTGGGGAGCCAGAGAAAGACACAAGAGAAGAGCCAGATAGACCCAGGGTAATCGGAGGGAAGAGACAGGCCAGTAGGGGAAGTGGTTTATAAAAATAAGGGAATAATATGGATCCTGCTCTCACAGAGCTTACAGCCTAAAGGACAGAGATCCCAGTCGTAAAACCACTACAAAACATATTTACAAAGTAACATACATACAAATAAATAACCAACATAGGAAAGCTAAGGGGTAATGTGGTAATAATCACCTAAAAGTCCTTAGGTCGTCATTGAGGCCTTCCTAAAGGAGAATATGTTGGTCTTTTGATTATAATGTTATAATGTTTCTCCTTGTATTATGGCATGTGCAAAGCTATATAAAGAGGAATGAATATGGCCATGTGTAGTAAGCAGATGAGCTTGATTTCGGTAGAAAGTCCAAATAGTCTAGTTAGGAAGTAGGAAGGAACAGTGGAGGTCAACTTGGTGAAAGATGCTGCAATGTTTGACCTGGTCCCTAAAACAAGTGAACAGGAATCAATGTGTTTTCTGGGAAAGGATAAATGGCCATGGGTCTAGGACCAACTCCAAAATTCTCAAGGTGTGGCAGTTACTGTAAGACACAGACACTAGCAAGGGGTAACGAGAGGAGCACTCAGCTTCCTGGGCAAGCTGAAGTAACTGCCTTGTATTAGAGCTCTCATGAAGTGGCAGCAAACCCCTGAAGGCAAGGGGGAAAAAACCCCATAAAATTCCAAAGCTCAACAGGCAAGCCAGAGCCTGGTAACCATAAGCAGAACCCTTGACCCTTATTACTTACCCTTACTCCTAGCAGGGAACAGAATGTGTATGTTTATGTGTATGTTATTTTTGAACGACCATGACAATCAACTTTGATCCTAATGTTTTATAAATTAAAATGACGATGAAAAGAGCCCTAATCTCTACAGGGAATGCTCATGTCCCTGGAGGAGGACAGGTCAGGAAGGGCCCCAATTTTCCCCTGGTCTTTAAGTGGAAAGGCAAACATCACACCTTGAAAAGAGGCTGTACTCAACCAAAGCAAGTAAAGACCTCTTTCTTTAAGCCTATTGAGCTGAAGCGTTCCAGGAAGGGGAGGGGGGAGGTTCGGGCCTGATGTTCAGCAGCAGCCAGAGTCAGACCCTGTGTCGCGGGAGTTCCTCGGGCAGGCGCCAGGTCCGGCTGATGTTGCGATTGACTGCTGGGGCCCAATCTTGATACCGTTTGCCTGTAAAATAACAAAGGAAATAGTTCTTATCTCACAGTGAAAGTCATCAGAGGACTGGAGGGTAATAAAGGAGAAATCATTAGTTCTGCTTAAAAACAGATACGGCTTTGGCAAGTAACCATGTGCTTTGTAGAACAATCCTCTCCAACTATTAAGTACAAAATGATTAGTTGCGCTGTTAAGAATCACAGATGACATTCTGGAGGCGGCAGCAAGGTTCACAGGTGTGACTCCAGCCTGTGCAATTCAGTGAGACCATGTCTCACAGTATATGTGCTGCCCAAGTGAGCAGGGGATGTAGCTTAGCACAAAGGCCCTGGGATCAATTCCCAGAACCACACAAAAAATTAAATTAAATTTAAAAATTAATTAGAGGTAGATTTTGTGTTCCTCCCTCTTTTTAAATCTGACTCTTGGTTCATTTCATTTAATTGTGTCACACAGTAAGGCCCTCTCCTACTGTTTAGTTTTGTGACATGTCTGAATTTCTTTTTTTTTTTTTTTTGAGTCAGGGTTTCACTATGAAGCCCAGGCTAGCCCTGAACTCACTATGTAGCTCAGGCTAGCACTGGACTTGTGAGTGTCTTGCCTCAGCCTCCTGAGTGCTAAGATTACAGGTGTGTGCCACCACATCTGGCAAAATTTTAAATGATATTTCTTTAAAATCGTAGCAGATACAAGTATAGGAATATTATTTCATATATTCTGATGCTCTTTTTTCTGCAGTTCTAGGGATTGAACCCAGGGTCTTCACACTAAGCTACATCCTCATCCTTCTTAAAATTTTTATTTTAACATATGGTCTAAGTCTATAAATTGCCCAGGCTGGGCTCAAATATGTGATCTTCCTGCCTGAGCCTCTCACTGAGCTGGGATTACAGGGATACACCACCATGCTCAACTAAGACTCAAGTTTTTACTCTAGAACATTAGGGAAATGTAATTCCTAATTACTCAGAAGAGCCATTTCTATGCAACATATTCTCAGACAAAACAAAAGAATCATATGCTAATATAGTGCTTCTCTTCTACATCCCCCGACTTTTTTTTGTTGTTGTTGTTGCTTTTGTTTTCGATAGTACTGGGGATTGAACTGAAGGAGCTCGGAGCCCTATCTCCAGCCACTCCCCTTTCTAAAAAAAATTATAGTTTTGGAAGGGCCACTGGAAGGAAGAGAATGCAGGACTTTTTATTTTGTGATAGGATCTAAGTTGCCCAGGCTGGCTTTGAACTTAGGGTTCTCCTGCCTTAGCCATCCAAGTAGCTGAGATTACATGCCTATTTTATTGTACCAGGTATTCCTTTTCTAACTTACCAAATCTTAGTTTTACACATAGCTATGAAAATTAAGTTCAACAATGCACCTTAAAAAGGGGGACAATAAAACCCCACCAATCTCTGGTGCTAAAGGAAAGAAAACTGACTTTTTGAGAAGAAAACTGCCATATTACACAGATCTTTTAAATCACTTACTAATAATCTCTTAAGCATTCCAGGTCTCAGACTTGAGGAAAAAGAGAAAATGATGACATTTCTATGCACTTTCATTAAAACAAAACAAAACAAAACAGCTTGAACTGGTAGAGGTACAGTTAGTATTTTAGGGCAGGCTTACATTCTAGGGCTTTTCCATTGTTGTTTGAACAAACAGAGCCGGGCATGGTGGCGCACTCCTGTAATCCTAGCACTCAGGAGGCTGAGGCAGGAGGAGTGTTGCAAATTCGAGACCAGCCTGGCCTACAAAGTGCCTGAACTGCATAGAGAACTGCATATCTCAGAAAGACAGACAGACAAAAAGAAAAAAAAAAAAAAGTTACCAGCCAGCAACCTCACCACCTCCGCCACCCTTTCTCACCTCATTGTGAACATCGAATAAACCCTGCTGGATCTTCCTGTAGATTTCTTTGGCTGTGTTAATGAAGGCCTGGGAAGGAGATAAAAAAATCATTTATTAGTCTTAAGTTTAGGTAAAGAAATGATGGAAAGAGAACACAAATATTATACCCATTTGGGTTTCTAAGATGAATTAGGAATCAAATATAGATTCTTCCTCCTCCCTGTAAAAACCATTGACGGTAGTTTCAAGAAGATAATGAGATTATATACTGTTCTAGTAATGACCCAAGGTATTCCTAGGATCCCTAGGTTGGCACACTCTATAAATAAACACGTTCTCTATTAGTTCCTGAGGATACAGTTAACCCAGGCCTAGGAATGACTACAGTAGAACCCGTTAAATCCTTTGACAAAGTAATTTAGCAGTAATAGTGATGTCTGATAAGTAAAACCTTAGGAATCAAGGTAAAAGACAATGGGACAGTGCCCTTAAGACATTTAGTCACTATATCCACAAGACACCTCTTCATCACCCATGTCTTATTACAGAAAAGAGTTCTGAGTAACTTTATAAAGACAATGGTGTTATCTCTGAAGAATTTGCCCTACTTTTTCCAAAATAGTACCTCTTCAACATTGCAGGCAGTTTTGGCTGAAGTTTCCATGAATATCAATCCATGCTCCCTAGCAAAGGCTTCTCCTTCCTCTCTCTTCACATCCCTGCGGGACTCTAAGTCACTGCAAGAGATAAATTGGAAGAAAATTAAAAAACAAAAACTCCAAATAAAAGAGGATGCTCTAAAAGAATCTCACAGCATCTTAAACTGTCAGTTCATCCACAAGGAATACAGATCCTACATGACACTGTCTTGCATAGGGTTACCAATTTCTCTAGTCTCTTAGAAAACATTCTTCAGATTTAGGACAGCTGCTGAATTCTGATAATAATAGCTTACTCTGTTAGAGGGAAAACAAAGTTTATTAAGGGTTAGATAAGCCCAATTGCCACTCAAATCTTATACTCCATGTTTCTTTTCCAAATGAGATCCAAGAGAGGAAAGCAGAGATAATGAAAGGGAAACATTTGCCAGAAGGCAGGAAAGTCACAGGTCTTTTCTTCTTATAGTGACGAGTATCTTTAGCTAAAATCAATCCACAGGAAGAGCTCCAGAGAGCCAGGAACAGGGAGAACACAGACACCTGGCTCTCACTAGGCTCTTTTCTGTGCACCAAGCATTTGGAGATGGTGATTGTTAAGTTTAGGCAGTCTAGAGAGAAAAAGAACCACGGATCCATAAAAGGAATGAAGTGGCAAGAAAGATATTAGTAAAAAGTTGACCAAAAAAATAAGGTTGGAATCAGATGTAGTGGCACACACTTGTAGTTCCAGCACTCAGAAGACTGAGGCAGGAGGAACAGCCCCAAGTCCAAGGCCAACCTTGGCTACACAGTGAGATCAAGGCCTGCCTGAACCACAGAGCAAGACCCTGTTTTGCTGTTTCAAAAAAAAGCACAAAATAAAAGAAGATGTTAGATTTTTATTTTTTTAATTTGGAAAATTTCATTTGGAAGGTTTCCAGTTTTTCGTTTTCTTTTTTTTTTTTTGAGTCTTGCTCTGTAGCTCAGGTTGGCCTTGAACTCATGGCAATATTCCTGCCTCAGTCTCCTGGGATTACCGTGTACACCACTATGCCTGGTGAGAGGTTTTTTTTTTTGGTTTCAAGTTTTTCAACAATGAAAATATTCAGGAGTCAGTATTATGACAAATTCACAAGACTTCCATTTATTATGCATGAGTTATATAAAGACAAAGGAGACGCAAACAATCCCAAATTGGCACCTCTACCCAAATAGTTAAGAAAATATATGCTATGTATACTGAACAATAAAAATATGTCTGAAGACCAAGAAATTCAATGTTTACCGCGTGCTTAGATGATTCCTGTTAACCATTACCCATAAAGATAAAATGTTTACCTCTTATTCCCAATCAGCATAATAACCATGTTGGAGCTGGAGTGCTGGCGTGCATCCTCTAACCACGAGGTCAGGTGGTTGAACGTTTCACGCCTATAGCAGAGCAGTTTACAAAGCTGGTCAGAAAGCCATTTTAAAAAGGCAAAGCAGCTCCAATTGTGTAAGAAATGGGGCACTGTTTTATACATTAAATTACAGGCCATCCCTAGTTAACCTCCTGAACAGATCCAGTCGATAGAAAAGCAAAGCTCAGAGAACATCTGGGAGTCTGCCCAACATACAGAGCTGGCTCACCTTGTAATGTCATACACCAGGAGTGCTCCCGCTGCTCCCCGGTAGTAGGAACGGGTGATGGAACGGAAGGATTCTTGCCCGGCCTGTCCCATCAACATGGCAACAAAAAATTTTAACACAACTAGGTTATTCCCAGAGAAATGACTTGATCACCTGCCACCCTAACACGAAGGACTTAACTAAAGAAAGAACTTTTATAAACTAGGAGAATTTGGGAAAGGAAACTGCCTGCCCAAGGAGAAGGTCAAGAAAGAAGTCAAATTCTTTTAAGAGTGCCACAGTTATTTCAGGCGGGTGGGTTACCCTTCTTATGAGACTGCCCATCAAATTCCTGAATGTTAACACCCCTAGAGGCAGCCACCAAATGCCAGCTGCACCCACAGGAAGTATGACACCAAAGACCTTTGCACACATTTCCCAGTGTGCTAGAGAATAATGGGAAATGGCACTGGAAACTTAGGATATGTTGTATTTTCAACCCTAAATGTAATATTAAAATACATCATTATTAACTTTTCTGTTCCTGACCCTTTCTCTGTAAAAAAGGAAAATTATTTCAGAATGCCAATATCCTGCTAAATGAACACCTGACTCCAATGGATTAATGTAGAGAATTAGATATGAAACAATAAATTCAACCTGTGCCTTTAGTTTTCCATGGATACTGGTGAGACTATATAGCTATCCCTCACTCGGCTCCTGTCCAGGATGAGGAATACGAAAAGATGCCAAGTCACTGGACAGCTTTCCTTTAAAAAGTCAAGTGTGCATGTGGGTCATCCTATAATCCCTGCACTTAGTACGCTGAGGCAAGAGGACTTCCAAGAGCTCAAGGTCATAGCAAGTAGCTGTCTCAAAAAACAAAATGAAACAAAACAAAATCAGTTTTCAACTTTTATACTCTAATCTCATTTCTACTTGAGGCAAAATATTTTTATGTATGACTGAATAATTATTTCTTCTGTACACCAGGTACTATTGCCTTTTTGACGTAAGAGGTTTTTTTTTTTTTTTTTTTTTTTTTTTGTCTTTTTCCTTTTTATCAGTACCAGGGATCAAACTCACGACTGCCTGCTTGCAAGACAGGTGATTATGCCGCTGAGCTAAATCCCCAGCCCCAAGAGTTTTTGTTTTTTAAAGGGAAACCAAAACTACCTTTCAAATACTAATAGACTACCCTGAACGTGGAATCTATCCCATTAAAAAAAGTTTTGTGTTTTTGAAGTATTTATCCTCATCACTACATAAAATGTGGGAAGTAAGACTACTCATATTTTATAGATGAGATCTAAGATGAGAATACAAAAAGATAAATGGCTTCCTTACACAATACTAGTAATAATGATGATGTTAATGATAATTCTACAGTACTATGTTAAACCATTTTTGGCATACACAGTGTACAAGAACCATAAAGATAATTACAAAACTGCGTATGATGTACACACCTAAAATCCAGCTATTTAGGAGGCTGTGGCAGGACGACTGCAAGTTTGAGGCCTGCCCGGGCAATTTAGCAAGACCCTGTCTCAAATTTGAAATTCTTTTAAAAAAAGATCCAGGATACAGGAAAAAAAGAGAAGCTACTTATATTACCTTACTTAATTCTCTTAGTGACCCTGAGCCAGAGAGTGGCCCTGAGTCAGATAATACTATTATTATTCCTCTTTGAAAAAGGGGGAAATGGGCCAGGGAGGTAGCTCAGTGGTATAGTGCCTGCCTGGCAAGCACGAGGTCCTGAATTTGATTCACAGCACCAAAAACAAAAAACAAACAAACAAACAAAAAAACGGGGGGAAATAAGCCTTGAATGGGCATGTTCAGTAACTGGCCATAAGGCAGGGTGGAGCTACCACTTAAACTGAGGAGGTTTGGTTTTTTTGTTTTGACCAGGAATGACCTCGCACTTACCAGGTAGGTGCTGTGCCACAGAGCTATATCACTGGCTCTAAACTGAGGACTTCTTTTTTCTTTTTTGTCTTTTTAAGACAGAGACTTGCTATGCAATTCAGGCTGGCCTTGAGATTACTTTGTAAATCAGGCTGATCTCCAACTTGGCAACAATCCTCCTGCCTCAGCCTCCTGAGCGCAGGGATTATAAGCAGGTGCCACCATGCCAGCTAAACTGAGGCTCTTAATACTTCCTATCATACACACACAATATTTAATATTAGCCTTTGAACAGGTAATCTAAATCAGGGTTTCAGTATGAGAAGAGAAATCTAGTCCAGTACACCCTCCCTCCCTTCCTTCCTCTTTAACTTTTGAGGTTTTTTGCTAAATCACTAAACTGGCAGGCTGGGCTCAAATTTGTGATCTTCTTGCTTCAACCTCCCAGAGTGCTGCAATTATAGTCATGTGCCTCTATGCATAGTTAAGACTCTCTTTATATAAGAATTACACATTGCTGAGAATGTGGTAGAGTGGTGGAGTGCTCACCTAGCATTTATGAAACCCTGGATGCCACCAGTACCCAAAAACTCTCAGCATCAAGGAACAACAACAAAGCCACATTTTAGTGAATTCGAATATGAGAATCCAAAAAGTAAAAACTTTAAGTCCCTCACTGATAATACTGTTTTAAGATTTAAACACTATTTTGCTTTCCAGAAGGTCACTTTAAAAAACTGGGGGGTTATTTTTTTTTTTTAAGGCAGGGTTTCTCTGTAGTATAAGCTGGCCTCAAACATGAGGTGAACCTCTTGCTTCAGCTTCTTGAGGGCTGGGATTACAGGTGTGTCACCATACTTGGCTCCCTTAAAACTTTTATATTTACTCCCTTATTATTCTGTGTCATATATTTGGGTCTTGTTTTGTTGTTCTTCTGCTCTTTGGTTATCACTGAAAGTCCTCTATTTTCCTATTGCCTACATAGACTAATGTTTGAGGGAAGCCCATGTGACAGCTGAATTACATGGCAGTACTAAACTTTATGGCTGAAAATAATTTCAATGAGTCACTGGAAAACCTTTTAAAATTGAATCAATTTATTTGTTTATCTCGGTCTTATGAACCAATTTGTAAGCCAAGAAGCTACATAGAATAAGTAGTTCAACTTAGATTGGTCTCCATCAGTCTCTGTCCATCCCCAGTAAAAATTCTGAAGCAAATAACTAAGATGGGTTTGATAAAAAGAATGCATGGCTTTCTAATCTGTCCCAAGGAACAGCATCCTATCAGACTTTTAGAGTTTGCAGCATTGCCCCCTAAAATGTCAGATAAACTTTTCCTAAGAATCAAATGCATTCCAAAGTAAAGTATAAATTAATTTGGGATAATCAATATTTTATAACAGCTACCTCTTAGTGAGCAAGGTCATTTGAGAATGAATACACACACACACACACACACAGAAAAGTAACACAGAAGAATTCTCTAAATCCTTATCAATACAGAAAAGTACAACAAAAAAATCTGGAATAATCTGATTTCTTTAAAATATTCATCGCGGGACTGGGATTGCAGCTTAGTAGTAGAGAGTGCCAGGGCATGAGGCCCCAGGTTCAATCCCAAGCACAAATAAAATAAAATAAAATAAAATATCCATCATGGTAATTCCTAAGCATTTTCACATCCAGTAGCGTTGTGAGCGTGTGAGGGATTGGACGGTAAAGTGGAAGCCGAGGTGATGAGCAATGGGTAGGATCTTAGTGCTGATGGAGAAATGACTGGGCTTCTTTAGGAAGCTGCAGGTAAGACACACTACATCAGTTATGAATCTCTTAAAATTTTCAAAGTAAGTAGAAAACCACAGTATTCTGAAACCTATTTCTTGTTATTCAGTAAGGATTAACATAATCTCAAAACAATTTTAAAAACTGATTAAAAACAATTTTAACAATTTTAAACAAAAATGAATTAGGTCATTTGGATGGACATGCAGTTCTCTGCAATCTTATCTCAACCTTCTTCCTTCATCATCCAACCACATCTCATATGAAAACTTAAAGGCGGGGGGAGCCAGCAAGCCGACACATGGCTATGACTATACCACTAACTGGCACCTACTGGGTTTTTCTCTCGGTGTGAAAACATCCATTTGGGAAATGGCAGAGGTTTAAGTTAAAGACATGAAATCCAGCCTATGCCAGTCTTGATACCTCAGCTTCTCCCACTGCCACCTCCTCAGAATTCATGCTGTGGCCTCAATAATGGGCCACACTTCCCTTCATAAGAAATATGAAGGGGCTGGGGATTTAGCTCAGCGGCATAAGCGCCTGCCTTGCAAGCAGGCAGTCGTGAGTTCGATCCCTGGTACCGATAAAAACAAAAAAGACCAAAAAAAAAAAAAAAAAGACATAAGAAATATGAAAAAGTCAGAGGATAATGAGAGGTAAGTCACAATACCTAATTGTAGTTAACTGTAACAAAGAATCCTGGGTCTCATTGATGAAAGAAAGAAAGATGTGGCAGCCATTTAAAAGCTTGTATGTGGAGTAAACCTTGATAACAAACCTAGAGTAGTACTTCTTTCGCTTTATAGTAGGATTGCTAGAAACAAAAACTGGTAAATAGAGCAATTTTGAAAGTTTCAAAAAATATCTGGCTACAGTTAATTATAGGGTTGGGGTTTAGCTCAGTGGTATAAGCGCCTGCCTGGCAAGTGTGAGATTGTGAGTTTGATCCCTGGTACCAAAACAACAACAACAACAAAAAGAAATTACTACAGTTAACTATAATTAGATATATGAAGCGATTCATATTCATATGGCTAGGACAATCTGATAGTCTAAGAAGAAAAATCTGATTAGAAGGCCAAATGGATATTTTAAAAAAAGGTTATTAAAATGCTTGCAAATACAACCAACAAATACACAGACAAGTATCATCCTAATTAAAAGCATCTGATTAGTCAGCTCATCTAAAAACTACAAAAGTTTCACATACTTGTGTAAGATGGTAGCAGTACGGGACATGGAAGAGGGGGATGAATGAGGAGTAAAGAGAAAAGGCAAAAAGGAAAAATAACTTGTGCACTTGTTGTGAATAAAATGGCTTCAGGTCTCAGTTCTGAGAAAAAAAATAACTGAACAACAAAAAAAAAACATTTTAGCAAAAAAGTAAGAACTATTTGTTAACTCTTTTTAACTAAAATAGAAACTAAGGTATTTGTCTTAGAGGAAAAATTACCACAACTCAAATGAGATAATGCCCATGAAAGCTATTTACCTGGACGAAGCAAAATTATAGTAAGCCAAGCTAAACTTTGGTAGTTAAAAAAAAAAAAAAAACAGGGGTTGGGGATTTAGTTCAGCAGGCATAAAGCACCTGCCTTACAAGCACATGGTTGTGAGTTCGATGCACAGTACTGATTAAAAAAAACTTCAGTGGTATCACATTTACCAGACTTTAAAATACATATGACTTTTGAAACAGAATTTTTATTTCTGGGCAGGTACTAAACGAAAGTCTTTAACACTTGTATGAAGACACAGTAAATAACAATGTTCAATGAAGCTTTTTCATTTTTTGGTATTGGAAATAGAACTTAAGACCTTGAGCTTGTCAGGCAGGCACTGTGCCACTGAACTATATCTCTGGCCAATTAAGGTTTGTAAGAGTGAAAGATGAGAAACAACCTAATTTCCCATCAATGGGAGGATGGCTAAATATATATGTAATTTATTCTCTGAATATGCAGTGGTGAAAAGGAATGAGGTAGATCTATGTGCACTAATGCAGAAAAGTCTCCAAAATATGGATTGTTCAAAGACATACCTGGGTGTACTCTGCCACAATTCTATACACATAAACACTAAAAAACAAAACCATGCCAAACATGGTGGCATCGCCACCCTGCGATGCTAGCATCCTGGGAGGTTGAGACAGGATATTGGGAAGTTTGAGCCCAGTCTGGCAATCTAGGGACTCAGGGAGACTCTTTCTCAAAGTAAAAAAAATAAAAGCATGCCTGAGGATTGTAGCTCAGTGCAAAGGTCCTGGGTTCTATCTTCAAAAACTTTACTGTCATACATTTATGTTTTTATTAATGTATTTAAATGTATGTAAAAAGTTGAAGGCATACACACAGAATCATTAACAGTGGACTTCTTTAGCAGAATAGCAAGTAAGGGATATTCACTTTTTATTCTACAAACTTATACTGTTTATTTTTTCACTATAAACTAGTATATTACTTAAAAATATAAAGATAGGGAGTTCAGAAATAAACTATATACTTAAAAATATAAAGATAGGGAGTTCAGAATTTGTAACTATAACAGAGGGAGTCAAAGCTTCCCTCTTCCTCACATCATTGATCTTATTCTTCCTCTATTTCATCTCCACCAACAGTACCACCCTTATAACCCTTTTCCCTGCACCAGCTGTAATTGTTATATTTAGATCTTTGTCAGGAAAGAAACTGTTCTCTCTTACCGTATCCCAGATTTGTAATTTGATTTGTTTTCCATCAATGTTGACCATACGGGCTCCAAACTCTACACCTGTCAGGGAAGGCCAAGAGAAAGAATGTGATTCTCCTGAGCAGACATGTGGAGTGGAAAGCTTATGCTTTTCCTGAGTGTGTTTAAATAGCACCAGTCAGTCCCACTAGGCCCATTACTACTGCTTATTTCCTGCAATTGATTTTGTGTTCCTTTATGTTTCTTCATTTATATTCTAGAATTTAAAAAATTATGGCCTTAAAAAAAATTATGGTCTTGAGGCTGTAGTTCAGTGATACACTATTTATCTATTTTGGGTAAGTCTCCGGGTTCAGTCTCCAGCACTATTTTTTTTTAAAAAGCGAGAGAGAAAAGCCTGCACCCACATGTGTAGTTCCGGCACCTTAGAGGCTGAGGCAGGAGACTTGCATGAGTTTGAGGCCAGCCTGAGCTATGGAGTGAGTTCAACCCAGCCTTAAATACATAGCAATGCCCTGTCTCAACTGCCCCTGACCCCTTTAACAACTGGCTGCAGCTCTAGATGTTGGGGGTAGGGGAAGATGACTACAGAATGAGAAAATAAAGATCAAAGCTGGGTCAGGTGGGGCCCTTATCCTCCTGATGGGAAGAAAGGAACTGGCCAATCAATGCAGCACTTTTACTATCCCCTCCAAAGAAGAATGTCAGCTTCAACCTGGCAGCCTGGCAGCTTGTTGGCTAGGTTGATCAGGGCCCTTGCCTTCTTAGTGCTGGGACAGCTTATTTACTTGGCTTTTTTTGAGCTGTGCTTTCAGGGCTGGTCTTGCTTTAGCCTCACACATATGATCAATCTCCAGTTTCAAAGGTGCCCTATGCACCCGAAATACTCAAAAAAAGAAGAAAAAAAGAAAAGAAACAGGTCCTCAAAACCTCAGATCACCAATAATTCCCAAAACTTAGTGAAAAATAGCCTCCCTCATAATGTATAGAAACTGGCAATCTTCTTTATAAAGTGATGTCAAGCCAAAAGTTAAACAGTTACTAACATTAACCACACTGGGATAAGTCAGAGAATTTATCCTATTTCCCATTTTCATATAGTACTTTGCAAGTAGCACAAATTCATTACCCTGAATTTCACTCACCTACCTTGTCCTAAAGGCTAATATGCACCTATTTGGTAATCCTACGCACACACACACACACACACTGTATACCTGGAATACCTCAACTTTACAGTGCTGCAAATCAAGAGAAAAGATGTAAAAACTGCTTCTTACTACTTTAATTGCTTCATCAAGAATCAAATAGTAGCTCCTGTAAAAGTCTCCCCCTGCCAGGCAACAGGAATGGAATTTCAATGGATAAGAAATAAAGCCTTTACCTTTTTTAATGACATTGCTACTGGTTATACATTTAGACACTCTTATTTGTATGTATTTTTATTCTTTGCCTTGTTTGTCATGGTATAGAGAATTGAACTCAGAGAGAAATAGACTCTATTGAACTCTTAGGTGAATTTAATTGATCATTTCATGTCTTCACCTTAGAATTTATTTGCTCTGATTTCCATCAGGTATTTAAGAACCTGGTATTCTTTAATTTTTTTCTCTAGCTTTATTTCATACTATTCACTTCAAACTCCATGCTCCAGCCATATTATTAAGTTACTTTGTTTTCCAGAAGTAACCTAATCCCTACCATCCCTCAGCCTTTGCCCACACTTTTATTCTCCCTTGTCCTGGTCATTTCCCCTCATCACAGTAACCCTTAACTTAACTCCTGTTCATTCTTAATTCTCAGACTTTCCTGATAGAAGTGACACTTCCTCTCCTTTCACAAAAGAAAGCAGACAATGCAGTGTTGCCTTGTTAATCATTGCATCACTCTTCCTCCGCCCTCACTGTATCACTCTTAATATTCAAAGTACATTTTGGTCCTTATTTACACTTTTGGTTTCTCCACCAGAGAAACAATGCAATATTCCCACATGTGTGGTCTGATTTGTTTCACTAAAAGGTTATGGACTCAAGATGCATCCATTTTCTTAGAAATGTCTCAAGCCATTGATCCCTCCTGGGTATCTTCCCAAAAGAATTAAAAGCATCATACCACAGTGACATATGCACACCCACGATTATAGTGGTACAGCTGGTAATAACCAAATCCTTTTTTGTAATTTTGGTGCTGTTATTTTTGTTTCTCTCTTTTTTTGAAACAAGGTCTCGCTGTGTAGTTCAGACTGGCCTTGAACTCAGGCAGACAGGCTGTTCTTCAGCTCACAGCAATCCTCCTGCCTCGGCCTTCCAAGTGCTGGGATTACAGGTGTGTGCCATCATTACTGCTATAATAACCAAATCTTGGAAACAATCCAAGTGGCCATTAACTGGTGAATGGATAAAGACATAGTTTATTCAATGGAGTACAACTCTGCCACAAAGAATACGCTTGACAGTTGTTTTTTTTTTTTTTTTTTTTAAGTTACTAGATTTATTCGCCTTTTCATACAAGACTGGGATGGCCCATCAATTTGGTACTGCTTCTCCAACACAAAAAAAGTCCATTTATTGGGGCTTACTTTGAAACACAGGTGAAATTGCTATGAACTCGGCAAACCACAGATACGTTTTTCAATAAACAATTATGCTTTTTTAACTTTTAAAGATTTTTACTAGTAAACCTTTACAGTAGATAGTCACATTATCTGGGACTTTCCATAAAGATACATATCACATTTGAAGGAAAATATCATCTTTAAGGAACTAGTCTTTACCTCACATTCATCTCTTAAGTTACCTCTCAGTCATAGGTTCATTTTTAACGTTTGATTAGTCACTCTTCATATACCATAACCTCGCATTAGTTCTAAGTAGTGAGAGGTGATTTTTCGAACATTGAGGGCTGCTAACGTAGCACGTCAGCAGTTTGGTTTTATCTGTTCTGAAACAGACTTACCTATTGTGAGGTCATGGACGGGCTGGAACCGCTTGTCTGTAAACTGCAGGAGGAGACATGACTTCCCCACTCCTGCAGGATAAAGATTTACGCAGGAGGCGATTGCCCAAGGGAACTGCCCAGCTCCTAGACTCTGGGCGCCCAAGACCTGGGAAGGGGACCCGGAGCCCCGCCCCTGGCTGGCCGCCCCGCCCCCGCCCTACCCCCCAACGCCCAGCCCACTAAGTGAGCCCCGCCCCCGAGACCCGATTTGGGAGCTTCGGGTCCCCGCCCCAGCTGCGAAGGCGGTCCAGCCGTGGGTTACCTGTGTCTCCGATGATGATGTACTTGAAGAGATAAGCATAAGTCATGGTCCCGATTCCACCGTATTCCGGGTCCGCCCGACTTCTATAGCCACTTACCTCCGACCTCTCTAGCCACTCAATCTACTGATTTTATTCCTCCACGCCACCTCCGGCCTCTCTAGCCCAGACCACGTCTCTATCGCACTCCCCAGAAATCGCTCGATTTGGAGTACCAGACACCGCCTCTGGCACTTCTACATGCCATTATACCACCAAACTCCAGGGGGCGATAGCTAGCCTTTCGGTCGGCTCGCGCCTGACTGGTTGACTCATGACAGTTTCTTTCCAATCAGCGGAGAGCGACGCGCGTCCTTCCGGAAGTGACGCACTACGAGCCCAGTGGGGGCGGTGGGAGCGCAGAGAGGGCTGAGTCGGTACTAGCGGTTGTCTGAAAATGGAGGTACGAATTTGGGCGCTAAGAAGGCTGGCGAGAGAGCGCGTCAGACTGGGTTGAAGCGGAGGCGGGAATCTGGGCCGAGAAGTGGCTGACCGGAAGGACGAGAGAGCGAGTTTGGGGCTTGTTACCGGAATGTCGGGGTCAGAATTCGTCACTCCAGGCAAACTCCCTGCTCCCTTAACTTAACCCTACGGCTTTCTTTTGGTTTCCAGTTTCCCGGAGGAAATGACAATTACCTGACGATCACAGGGCCCTCGCACCCCTTCCTGTCAGGGGCCGAGGTGAGCGAGAGCCGCCGACGCGTGGGGAGGGGGTCGTGGTAGCTGGGCGGGGGCGGGGGAGGAGAGCGTGGAGGCCCAGGACTGGGGCTAATGGGAACCGGGACCGCGGTGTTTTGAGAAAAGTGGCGGCTGCTTTTTAGAAAAGAGGACTGACTGGGAAAGCCCGGGAAGCTGCTGTCACCAGAAAACCAGGATATTGAAAAGAGAGCCTGTTTAAGCTGGAGAGTGATTCGAAATTGAAAGATTGAATGAAACTGCCTCCTTTGGCTACCACAATTTTAAGGGTGGTGGCAACAGGAAGAAAAATTTTCAGCAGTTGAAGGAATTGGGGTAAGGGAAGGAGCTTATGAAGCAGGGTTATATTTGCACACAGTTAATTCTTGAATTCCAGGGAAGGGAAACATTTTTATTATGTACTTTGATAAAAGTGGTTACTGTTACACGTGCGGTATCAGCCAGTTTTGCTAATGGCAGTGGGGAATAAAACTCAGAACATAAAAGGAGCTGAATAGAACATACATTTGTTGCTGGTGACTCTTTAGGCAGGTTACCTTTGTAGCAACAATTTCCCAGCTGTCCAGTGACTGTAATAATAGGTTCTTATGATGCTGTGAAGAAGTAATGGTTATGGTGAGGGCCTAAAATATTCCTGAAAAAAATTTATGAAATGATCTCATACTGTAGATACATACCACTTGTGTGGGGAAAATAAAAGTGAAAGGTAAATGAGACAAGTATTTCCCAGTCTTTGAGATCCTTAAACTCTTAAACGTTTTACTATCTTTCAAGGATAATTTTTCCCAAAAGTTTTTATCTTTTTCTGTATTAAGAATTTTTAGTTGATGTTGAGTGGTTTTTTCCAAAAATGAATCTTAACATTTTCATGCATTAAAGTTAGATTGGTAGGGCCGGGGATGTAGCTCAGTGGCATAAGTGCCTGCCTAGCTAGTCCAAGTTCCAGAGTTTGATTCCCAGTACCACACACAAAGTTAGGTTGATAATGAGTAGTTGCTAGTTTTAAAAATGTATTACTGTTTTGGCCCTACTAGAGGAAGTGTAAAGTAAATGAATAGAAAATTTAGGAATAATATAAACCTAAAGCCCATTTAGTGTTTTGTGTACTCATTACCTGTTTCTTCTTAATGAGGTCTCCATGGTTTAATTTTACTATTTGAAATCTACTATTGGCTGCATCCACATAAAATGCCTCATTACCAATTTCTTCCCAGTTGGGTCTCCACAGTTCTAGTTCCATTATTTAGAGGGTTATAAATTGACCTTGTTCATATGAAAGTACATTTTAAAATTAAATACAAATGCTAGACTAGTGGTGCATCCCTATAGTCCCAGCACTCAGAGACAAGACCCTGTCTCAAAATTTTAAAGAGGATGGGAATGTAACACTGATGGGAATGTAGCACTGATTACATTCCCATCCTCTTTAAAATTGTAACACTGGGAAGTGCTCCTGGGTTCAATTCCCCCAGAATTTCAAATAAATAAGTAAATAAATAAAAATACACAAATAGCTTTCAGATACATCTTCTTTAGTGCTTTTGTGAAATTGAACAATCAAGATGTAACTACATGAGAGGGAGCCACTTGTTTGGTTTTAGTTTTGGTATTGGTTTTTTAAGACAGGGTCTCACTACATACTCAGGATAGTTTTGAACTCAGTGTATGTAGCCCGGGCTGCCTAGAACTTGCAGTGATCCTGTCTCAGCCTCCTGAAGGCTGGGATTATAGGTGTGCACCTCTACACCTGGTGAGGTAGAGCGTTTTTAACATCAAAAAGTTTAGGTTGGGGAGTATAACTCAGTGATGGAACATCTGCCTAGCATGTGTTAAAGATCTAAGGTTCATCCCCAGTACCATAGAAACAAAAGAGAAAAAAGATGCTTTCTGGGTTTGAATCTGTTCTATTTTTGTTTCGATGGCTTAAGTTTGTGGGTTGGTTTTGGTTTTTTTTTGTTGTTGTTTGTTTGGTTTTTTTGAGACAGTAATGTTAGGACCAATTGATGATTTCTGGCTGAATTGGTAAAGTTTTCACTATTACATCCATTTTTAAGGAAGGGTTATTTTTCTGGGCTTGGGGTGTACACCTGTAATGCACTTGGGAGACTGGGACAAAAGTTCTAGACCAGCACAGGCTACATGTCAAGTACAAACTGGCCTGGATTATGTACAGAAACTAAAACAAACAAGAAAACTACTTACTGATCCATAGTACCATGATACTATTAAAGAAATGGGTATGAAAAAATTCTCTAAAATAAGTATATGAAGAAACTAAAGAAATAATGGATGGCTAAGTGTATGAGTGGTAGAGCTCATACTTGGTATATGGAGGGATGTTGGTTCAATCCCCCGTGCTTTTAAAAAAAAAAAAAAAACAACCAATAAGGCACAGTAGCTTGTGTATAGGGGAAAGTGGAAAGGGAGGGAATGGTATCTTTTGGTTCTTAGTATCTAAACACCCTTTCTTATCACTCTGAAACTGCCTGCCTCAAGGTCAGTGAATTGGAGAAGGAAAGGAAAGCTGAAAAGGTAGAAGCATCCCGATAGCCCTCTTCTCTCCTTTTGGGTCCAAACCACTTGCTCTCATTTTAATATGTGCTACAGTTTTAACCTTTTTAAAAATCTTCACTATTTAGTGTGATTTAGTTAAATAATAGGTCTGCTAAAATAAGTATGCATGATTGGATTTTACTTGTAATTTTATAGATGACTTGTAGTGAGACATTTGAATGAACCTTTATGATTCTGTAGCATGTGATGTACCCTTCTCTATTCTTGGTGATTATAATTATCTTACTAGTCATGCTACACAGGAAGAAGTAAAGCTAAACAAACAGGAAGTCTATCATGAAAACTTCGGGTGTACTGTCTAACAAAGCTGTTTCCATATGTCAACTGGTAGTGCTTAGAAAAAATGCCTTGTCGATCTGCTACAATGGGATCTAGCATGTCTGGTCCATGAGAGCACTCCAGATGATTTATATTTTGCTCTATAAGGAGCAAAATGCTGACCCTTTCTTTTAGATATAAATTATTATTCCTTTTGAGTTTCCATTAACAAATAGTATCATTTTTCATGTCTTGGCAGAGTTGTTTTATTTGTTGTGGTAAGCAATAAAGGATAGGCATCTTGCTTTGCCATCGCAGTCTGTGTCTTACAAAATTGAGAACTATTTTACAATTATTAATATAGCAAATGTTTCCCTAAGTTATTTTTCCAGTCCCTGTCATCTTTTGTTTGTTTGCTTGAAAATCTGGGTAAGAATCTTGGTGCCTTATTCCTGAAAGATGGTCACCTAAACCTAAACTGAAATTTCAAAGTTTCTTAAGTCTTACACATCTGCAAAAGTTATGATTTGTATTGTCAGAGAAAACTCAGCTCTTGGAGCAAGTTTCTTCCATCAAGAGCTGCCTTCTGTGCTCTAAATGCAGCTCATGTGATATCCCAAATAGTTAGCAAATGTTTAGCAGACTTAAGTAAAATGGAGGAAAATGTAGAAACAAAGCCTATAGACATTTTTCTGTCTTCTAGGAAACTTATTTACCAATATGATTCCGAAAGATTGAGAATTTCACAGGTATACTGTTGTTTCTTCCATAGTGGGGAATAAATTCAGGGCTTTTCACACTGAGCTATGTCCTCAAGCATTTTCATTCATTCATTATTTGTTTATTAGTTTTGATTTTTTTAAAATAGGGTTTTGCTATGCAGTTCAGGCTTGCCTTGAGCTCACTGTAGCCTAGGCTGTCCCTGAATTCATGGCAAGTCTCCTGCCTCAGCCTTTCAAGTGCTAGGATTACAGGCATGTGCTACCATACCTAGCTCTTCAGTCTTTATTTTGAGACAGGGTCTTGCTCAATCACTAAGTTGCCCAGACTAGGCTTGAATTTGCAACCCTTCCACCTCAGAGGCCTCCTAGACCTGTTGGGGTCTCAAGTAGGTACCACTGCATCTGGCTAAACCCCTCCTTAGTTACCTGCTGACCAGAAGTACCCTGTCAGTCATACAACTATTTTTTTAAAAGGGCAGCAATATTAATGAGACCTTTTCTGAGGCCAGAGAAGCCTTTAAGGCCTTAAAGAATTTTTACTCATTATTTAATCATGGGGAAAATGTGGTTATGGAATTTGAGTTAGTTGGATTTTACTATGCTGTTAAGTTGATAGAATCTAAAGTTTCTTAAATTCCATTTATGATAACAGGTGGGGGACAAACTCATAATTACTAGGGTATCAATATTAGTAAAAACAGTGATTACTAAGGCATTATATGTATCAGGCAGTGTGATAACTTTTATGAACTAAGTCCAGTTTATCCTTATAACTGTTTGAGTAGATTAACATTTTAATCCCAGTTATATAGATGAGGAAAAGCCACTGAAGGTAATAAATGGCAGAGCTGGGACCTGAACCCAGACCAAAGTCTCTTGCTGTGACTTATTATGATCTGCCACTAAAATGCCTCCAGTGTAGTTTTTTGGTGTCAAAAAGGAACCACAGGGCTGGGGATATAGCTCAGCAGTACAGCGCCTGCCTGGCAAGCGAAAGGTCATGAGTTCGATTCCTACTGCCAAAAAAAAAAAAAAAGGAGCCACAGCAGGTAACATATCTTAGGGCATACATTGATGTTAGCTGTGTGAGTAGTCGTCCCATTCAGACAGGAAAGAGTGAATTGTTGGTTCAGCTGGACTCAGAGGAAGGGACTTAAGTCCTTAGCCTATTGGAGAAGTTTTTCCTTTCTCTCTTGCATAAAGACTTGGTCAGAGCAAGTCTAGGCATGTGTTTAGAACTGTTAATAACCCTTGTGAACTGGGCTAACGATAGTATTTTTTTTCACAGTTTTCTTTTCTTTTTTTTTTTTTTTATCGGTACCGGGGATTGAACTCACGACTGCCTGCTTGCAAGGCAGGTGCTTATGCCGCTGAGCTAAATCCCTAGCCTCTTCACAGTTTTCTTACCTGGCATTATTGGGGCTTCCTCAAAATCAAATTTTTTTTTTTTGTCTTTTTCCTTTTTATCAATACTGGAGATTGAACTCATGACTGCCTGCTTACAAGGCAGGGGCTTATGCCGCTGAGCTAAATCCCCAGCCCCACTTCCTCAAAATCTTATAAAATGGGAATCTTGTTTATTGGTAACATTAAATTTCTAAAATGAAAAGTTAGGAAACTCTTTAAGTGCAAATATTTTAGAGGGGTAGAAGTTTCCCATGATAGTGTCTTGTAGGGTTTGCTTCAAAATGAACCTAAAGCAATGTAGTCTGGCAGTAAAGTGTAATAGTTACGAAATAACTGCTTTCAGAATTTTTAGATTTCAAGCATCATAGCTAAATAGGTTACGAAAGCAAGTTCCTAACAGTGCTACCATTCATTATATCAGTGATTATTTAGGGCAGTCAAATGGTAAAAGTTGAAAAGAGATAAAGGAATTGAAAATTGTAGTTGTTGACAGTCTCATATATGTCATATGACAAAAGGCATAAGAAGATAGATTTATTTATAAAATTAGGTAGGTTCTAAGAAATCTATTTCCTTTTTTTGTTTTGTTTGGTTTTGTTTTGTTTTTGCGACAAGGTCTCATTATATATCCCAGACTGGCATTGAACTGATTGTGTAGCCCAGGTTGGACTCAAACTTATGCCTTAGGCTCCCGAGTGCTGGGATTATAGGCATATGACACCAATCCTGGCGAAGAAATGTATTTTTTAGAACAGAATCTGCATAGTACCTTGCTGTGTTTTTCACTTAGAAGAATGCAGTTCCATCTCCTTGTACTAATTGTTTTTCTCTTTTTCCCCTACAGACATTCCATACACCAAGCTTGGGTGATGAGGAATTTGAAATCCCACCTATCTCCTTGGATTCTGATCCCTCACTGGCTGTCTCGGATGTGGTCAGCCACTTTGATGACCTGGCAGACCCATCTTCCTCACAAGATGGCAGTTTTTCAGCCCAGTATGGGGTGCAAACATTGGACATGCCTGTGGGCATGACCCATGGCTTGATGGAGCAGGGCGGGGGGCTCCTGAGTGGGGGCTTGGCCATGGTAAGGGGCTAAACATTGTCAGGCTCCTACAGGCATGGTGTTGGGAAGGCAGAAATAATATTTTTACTACATTTGGGTATTCTTATTTTTTCAGCTAAAGGTTGTGTACAAAAATGTATTTTTACCTGAATACATAAAATTTACTATCTGGGTCAATTTTACTTGAAAAGTAATTTTAAAATTTTAGCTTTTTTTTTTTTTGGTACTGGGAATCAAACTTGTGCTTGCCAGACAGATGTTTATGCCTTGAGCTAAATCCCCGGCCTTTGTGATTTAAAATTTTTAAATATTCAGTATTACTCCTGAAATGAAACTCATTTACTCTAATTTTAAAAAAGAGTGTCCCTTTTATTGTGGCCTTCACATCCTGTAATTCACATGTATGATAGTCGGTGTATTAAGGGATTTATTCAAAAGTAGTCTGAACCAAATGTATTAATATGGATTGATATATAAACTACTGTGTTGGATTTCTAGCACATATTAATAGTAGCATATCCACACCCTGTATATGATGCCAGGCATCTCTAATATTGATGTTGTCTCCTATAATTGCTTATGCATTGCAACTATTAAAACGCACAATTTTAGGAGCTACAGATGGGGAAGTTTTTCTTCACTGTGTTGTCACTACTGCATATTGCTGAATAAGTTATTTGCAGTCAACCTGCCCAAGATTAAGATTTCTCCAGTTATTTTTATTTTTTTGAGATTGGATTTTACTGTATAGATCAGGCTGATCTTGAACTCGCTGTGTAACTCAGGCTGGCCTCAAACTCATGGCAGTCCTCCTGCTAAGTGCCTAAGTGCTGAAATTACAGGCATGTCCTACCCTCTTGATTACTTTTAATTATTTTAGAAATAGGTCTTTGAATGCAGAGGAGTAAATTTACTAATTTCTGTAGTTTTAAAAATGCTTAATAGATTTTATTTATTTTTACATATTTTCTTTGTAGAGTTAAATAATGATACAATCTGGGTAAGCTAGGGATTTAGAAGCTATCTTGAATTTGGGGTGGAGATGGGGCTAGTAGTATGTTTAATATTAACTATGTAATTAGTCCTTCTACTTCCCTCAGGATTTGGCCCACTCTATAGGAACTCAGTACAGTGCCAACCCACCTGTTACAATCGATGTACCAATGACAGATATGACATCTGGCTTGATGGGTGATAGCCAGCTGACCACCATCGATCAGTCAGAACTGAGTTCTCAGCTTGGTTTGAGCTTAGGGGGTGGCACCATCTTGCCACCTGCACAGTCACCTGAGGATCGTCTTTCAACCACCCCTTCACCTACTAATTCACTTCATGAGGATGGTGTTGAGGATTTCCGGAGGGTGAGGCATTCCCATCCAAGATCACTTCTGGTCTGATAACCATGAGGTGGAATTCTTGGCATATAGATCCTAATCTGTGTTCTTTGCTCCTACCTTGTCATCTCCTCTGCTCTTGTTGTGGGTATGAGGTTGCTTTCCAGTTTATAACCTTCCTCCCAACCTCATTCATATTAGTCTTCACATACTTTAGTTTTAAACCCGTTGCATCTGTGTTTAGTATAATTCCATTCATGTGACTGGTTCTTCCCAAATTAAAAAAACCTTCATAGTTTAGACACAATAATTTATTCTTCTGCCTTGTAATTCTCTCTCTTGTCTTCCCTACAGCAACTTCCCAGCCAGAAGACAGTTGTGGTGGAAGCAGGAAAAAAGCAGAAGGCTCCAAAGAAGAGGAAAAAGAAAGATCCTAATGAACCTCAGAAGCCGGTTTCAGCATATGCTTTATTTTTTCGTGACACACAAGCTGCCATCAAGGGACAGAATCCTAATGCCACTTTTGGAGAAGTTTCAAAAATTGTGGCTTCTATGTGGGACAGTCTTGGAGAAGAGCAGAAACAGGTAAGGAAAATCAGTGGCTAGTGAATGTTGTGCAAGTTTTTAAATAAGGGCTTTCTTTTAACATTTGTACATATTCTTATTTCTCAGTTTTTTGTCAGTGGCATTCACATGTCATCCTGTACCTTAGAAATTGCATCTGTGCAGTAAATCCAGGAAACTATTTTATATTATTTTATTATGGTGGTGGTGATGAAACCCAAGGCTGAACACATGCTGTGCATGCTCTCTACCACTGAGCTACATCTCCAACTCTGCAAACTCATTTCAGAAAAATCAGCAATAATTATAATACTGCATCTTTTGCAAATTAAAGCAACACTGAACATTCCACTTCACACCAGAAAGAATGGATATTAAGAAGTCAATAACAAATGCTGGCGGGCTGTGGGAAAAAGGAACCTTTCTCTACTGTTGGTGGAGTGAAGACTGGGTGCAGCGACTGTGGAAATCAGTGTAGTGATTCCTTAAAAAACTAGGATTGGAGGTCCCATTTGACCCAGGTATTCCCCTTCTGGGTATCTTCCCAGAAGAATTAAAAACATCATACCACGATATATGTACACCCACGTTTATAGCAGCACAATTTGTTTTCTTTTTGGTAGTGGGTATCAAATTCATGACCTCGAACTTGTCAGGTAGGAACTCGTGCCACTGAGTTAAGTCCCTGGCCCAGCAGCACAATTTGTAATAGCTACATCTTGGAAACAGCCTAAATGCCCCTCAACAGAGGAATGGATAAAAAAGATGTGATGTTTTTATACTATGGAGTACTACTCAGCCATAAGGATAAAGTTAAACTTTTATAGGTAAATGGATGCAACATAAATCTGACATGTATGTGTAAACATCGCATTGTCTCACTAGTGTGAGTCACTGAAACTATATATAGATATGTGTATGTATAAGTATAGTTATACAAAAAGATAGTTATACTACTGATTCCTCTGAGTTCATTGAAGAGAAAGGTTTGTGCTAGTATTGTTAGGACAATTAAATGCAGATATCTTGTACTCCGAGTAACTGATAGGAATATAACCATACACAATATACATTCAATGGTTAACCCCTAATTATTGTGTTTTAAAATTTTTGGATTTTTTGGTTTTCTTCTCTTTAAAATAAAATTTTAAAAAATTAAGAATACTGCATCTTAGGTGGGCCTGGCCCATAGGTTTTTAATCCTAGTGCTCTCTGAGAGGCTAAAGCAGAAAGATGACAAGTGTGAGCCCATCCTGGGAAATTTAGCAATTTAGAGACAGTGTCTCAAAGAACAAAATATAAGGCTGGTGATAGAGCTTCGTGTAAAAGCCCTGGTTTATGTATTAGGTTCAGTACCCAGTACTTAAAAGCAAGAACCATCTTTCCGAAACTACAAAATAGCCACAATTCCCCTCCCCCCTTTTTTTTAAAAATATAAACTGGGGTCATAGTGTACAGTTCAGATAGCAAACAGGTTATTTACTCCAGATACCACATGCTTTCCACTAACAGTATCTCAGAATTCCTGGTGCATTTTTAACTATTTTTCATGTTTGGTAATTTAGGTTTTTCTAAACCTCATTATTTCCCTGTTTGTAAAATCAGACTATTGTGTTTGGGGATTTAGTTCAGTGGCATAAGTGCCTGCCTGGCAGGTGTGAGGTTGTAAGTTTGATCCCCAGTACGAAATAAATAAATAAATAGTTAGACTATTCCTCAGAAAGTTGTATGTTGATGTTAACTGTAAACATTTGCATTTATAATTTCATTTAGTTTTCTCATTGGCCTAGTGTAAAGTGGAAAACTACATAATCTCTCTAAATGTAATCAATTTAAAAAATAACTGAAGCTAGTGAGGCATGGTGGCTCATGCCTGTAATACCAGCATTCAAGAGGCTAACAAGGAAAATTGCTATGAGTTTGAGGCCAGCCTAAGCTACAGAGTAAGTTCAAGGATAGTCTAACTACATAGCGAGACCCTGTCTCAAAAGACCAAAAAAAGGGGGATGGGGATTTAGCTCAGTGGCATAAGTGCCTGCCTTGCAAGCGCATGGTCATGGGTTTGATCCCCAGTACCGATTAAAAAAAAAAAGACCAAAAAAAAAATTGATACTGTACAAATATAAAATTGACATTGATGACTAATTATGATTACCCTCTGAGCAATCTTTTTTTTTTTTTTTTTTTTTTGATACCGGGCATTGAACTCAATCTCATATTTGTCAAGCAGGCAATTACACTGCTGAGTCTAAACCCCTGGCCCTATGATTACCCTAACTTCCTGGGTCTTATGTCAAATAAGTTCTGTACTTACGATTTGAAATAAAAATCTGAATTTATTATAAATAATGTATATTAGCTATCGGTTGCTATAAAGCATACCTAATCACAATCCTAATCACTTGAAATGGTGTCAGTTTATTATTTCTCAAGATTCCATGTGTTTAGGTAGTTTTCTTGCTCTTCTTGCCTGGCCTCTTTGCTATAATTATAATCAGATGACCTTCCCATGCCTAGCAGTTTGTGCTGCCTGTTAGCTAAGATACGTTGGTGGTTCTTTACGTGGCTTTTGCTCCTATGTAGGCTAGACTGGCTTATGTACAGTATGGCCAGCATTCCAAGAACTTGAAAAGAGATGCCTCTGGGTCTCTTAAATTGCATTGTTAGTTCAACACATTCTTATGATCATACAAATCACAGAGCAAGCCCAGATTCGTAGAAGTAAGCTTCAGCTTTTGATGGGAGAAGGAGCTTATACACAGGAAAATTGTTGCTATCCTTACAAACTTTTACTGGTTATGCTGGACAGCGATGCTCGCAGGCTAAACAGACTGCGAATCTGACATAATTGGGTCAGGGTTTATTCTTGGTAAGGATTTTGTAGGTGTTCTGGCTAGACTGTTATGGATTGATCGATTTTTCAGAGTGACACTGCCAGGGAGGCAGTCTTCATTGTTGTCACTGAAAGGAGTTATCAGTAATCCAATTGAGATGAATTGTCATTTGCTGAGGAATAATGTGGAATTACCAGTCTTTTTTCAGGAATAGGGACTTTTTAAATTTGTCTTATAGGTGTATAAGAGGAAAACTGAAGCTGCCAAGAAAGAGTATCTGAAGGCTCTAGCAGCTTATAAAGACAACCAAGAGTGTCAGGTAAGAGGACTAGGGGAGGTGGATCTTTAAAACCAGTTTGTTTTAAAAAACCATTAGCACTTACAAGAAGTAAATTCCACTGAAAACTTGTTGAACCTATTAACACTAAGTAGTTTTAAAAGCTTAAAAAATACTTAAATAGCTTTCCTTTATTGTGTATCATATAAACCTTGCCAGTCTTCAAGTTTACTCATCATTTCCAGTGTTTATCAAAGGCAGTATTGTTAGCTACTTTTTTCAGTCTATAATGTGTCTTTTATTGAGGGATCATTGGAATGAGTATGTCCTGCAGTAAAGAGTAAAACCCTTTAACTTTCTTGGTCTTCTTTTAGGCCACTGTGGAAACAGTGGAGTTGGATCCAGTGCCACCAGCCCAAACTCCTTCACCACCTCCTGTGGCTACTGTTGACCCAGCATCTCCAGCACCAGCCTCAACAGAGTCGCCTGCCCTATCTCCTTGCATTGTTGTTAATTCCACTCTTTCATCCTATGTGGCAAACCAAGCATCTTCTGGGGCTGGGGGTCAGCCCAATATCACCAAGTTGATTATTACCAAACAGATGCTGCCCTCTTCTATTACCATGTCTCAAGGAGGCATGGTTACTGTTATCCCAGCCACAGTAGTGACCTCCCGGGGGCTCCAGCTGGGCCAAACCAGTACAGCAACTATCCAGCCCAGCCAGCAAGCCCAGATTGTCACTCGGTCAGTGTTGCAGGCAGCAGCAGCAGCTGCTGCTTCTATGCAACTGCCGCCACCCCGACTACAGCCTCCTCCATTACAACAGATGCCTCAGCCCCCAGCTCAGCAGCAAGTTACCATTCTACAACAGCCACCTCCACTTCAGGCCATGCAACAGCCTCCACCTCAGAAAGTTAGGATCAACTTACAGCAACAGCCACCACCTCTGCAGAGTAAGATTGCACCTCCACCAACGCTGAAAATGCAGACCACAGTAGTTCCACCTGTTGTGGAAAGCAGTCCTGAGCAGCCTGTGAACAGCAGCCCTGAGGTTCATCCAGTGGAGGCAGCCACTCCTGATGCAATTTGTGAGATGATCACAGATGTTGTTCCTGAGGTGAGCCTTGTTTCTGCTTTCTCTTAACTAGCTTTTTTTTTTTTTTTTTTTTGTCTTTTTCGTTTTTTTTATCGGTACCAGGGATCGAACTCACGACTGCCTGCTTGCAAGGCAGGCGCTTATGCCGCTGAGCTAAATCCCCAGCCCCTTAACTAGCATTTTTTAAAAAGGGTAGGGAAATGCTGCTAGTATTTGATATGTGGTAGCCAGTATGAAGCCTCTAGTAGACAACAGGAACTCCCTCAGTGACTTCCCCATCTGCACTCAGCGTGTTTTTATTAAACATTAAGAGGACTTCCTGTCCCAAGCCTTTGTGCGTGTGTGTACTGATGATAACCCTAGGGTCCTTCCCATCCTTTGTGTTTTTTGAGACAGGTCTTGCTCAGTTACCCAAGCCGGGTTTGAATTTACAAATCCTTCCATGTCAGCCTTCCAAAATGCTGGGATTATAGGCATGGGCCACCATGCTAGACTTTGGTCTGTTTTGTTTTGAGGCAGGATCTTGCTTTGTAATGCAGGCTGGCCTAGAACTCACAGCAACCTGCCAGCCTCAGCCTCCCAAATGCTGGGATTTTAGGTGTGTGCTGTCGCACCTAGCCAGACCCCTTTTTTTTGTTTGTTTTAGAATCAAGTTTGACCTCTCACCTGCCTGGCAGGCACTGTGTTGCTGAGCTATATCCTCGGCCCCAGACTACTTCCTGTGTGAGCAAAGGCAGCAGTGTGGTGTGATGAGAGAATAGAACATGTGTGTTACTTTGCAGAGGAAGACTATCCAAGGAGCCTACACCTTCACATTAAATCCTTTAACCTCTATGCTATGTTTACTGCTTAGCTTTAAATATACGTGAGGAGTCAGATACAACCAAAAAATATGTTTGGTCTGTATCATGAAGTCTTTTAAAAGGGATACTACACAAATGCCAGTTACCATAGTTTTTTAAAACCTGTACTTCATGGACTGGGGATTTAGCTCAGAGGCATAAGCACCTGCCTTGCAAGGCAGGTGGTCATGAAAAAGAAAACCTGTACTTCACCAGTAATCAATTTACAATCTTTTTTTTTTTTTTTTTGGTGCCAGGGATTGATCTCACTACCTCATGCTTGCCAGGCAGTTACTGTGCCACTGAGCTAAATCTCCAGTCCCCAACAATCACTTTAAAAGATGGGTTTCAGTTGGGGAATGTAGTATAGGACAAGAGCACTTACTTGTCTAATATATGTGATAGTCTAGGTTTGACTCCTAGTACCACCAAAAGAATGTGGGGGGGAGCTGTTTGAGACCCTAGTTCTATAATAAGACAGTCATTTAAAAGAAGGGATACCTTAGCCACAAGGAAGTCTATGATCTGCAGATGCTTTTCCTTTTTATAACAGTGAATTTTCTTCCTCTTAATATCCCTTTCTAGCTTCATTAATGCATCTCATACTCTACTACACACTCCTCTTAATACTTTTCAGAAGGGTATTGTTTCAGTGTGGTGCAGTGAACCAAAATTTAAAGAGCACTAGCATATGCCCTGACTTCCCCTCGGAGAAGACTATTCATCATTCTGCTTGGCAGAGCTCTAAAACTGAAGAGTAAAGACCAAGAACACCCTTTATCCCTACATGAGTAATTGTAAACATCCCGTCTCACTGGATCCCAAGGATAATGACTGCATGGGTAGAAGGGAGGCAGCAAAATAATCTGTCTTGGTTACTCTTCCTCTCCCAGGTCGAGTCTCCTTCCCAGATGGATGTTGAACTGGTGAGTGGGTCTCCTGTGGTGCTGTCACCTCAGCCTCGATGTGTCAGGTCTGGCTGTGAAAACCCTCCTGTCGTGAGTAAAGACTGGGACAATGAGTACTGCAGCAATGAATGTGTAGTGAAGCACTGCAGGTGAGTGTCCATTTCTTACAGTTCAGGTGTGGTTAAGTTAACTGTGGAGAAGTGCAGGAACCTTCAGGGTATAGTCAGTATTATCTCACCTTAGAATGGCTTGAAGAGGCTAATTGAAAATTGAAAAGTGTCTCTGCTTAAATAGAGCTTATAGGCCAAACATGATGACACACACCTGTAATTGCAGCACCTGTAATTGGTGGGCTGAGGCAGGAGGATTGCCATGAGTTCAGTACCAGTTTATGTTACATAGTGAGTTTTGAAGGTCAGCCTGATCTACATAAAAAGATCCTGTATCAGTAAATACATACATACATACATCGATAAAGCGAGCTTACATTTAGAGTTGGAATCATAGCTCAGTGCTAGAGCATCTGCCTGGTGTACATGAGGTCCTACATTCCCAGAGTGATGATGACTGGAAGCAAAGACACCTTAAACTTTCAAGCTGTTAGTGACTCTGAATATTAGCCTTTTAATCCTTAAGAAAGCCTTCCTGATTCCTTAAGGAGCTGAAAATTGGGAGTGGGCATAAGTGAAAAGCAGCACAGTAAAAAGAACTAAATAATGTGAAAGGAATGAAAATTGTTACAATTTACCCTTTTACCCCAATTGGCCTGGGAATTGTCTGTGTCTGTGAAACAAGGTATATTTATAGACCCTATCTTAAGTCCCCTACAGTAGATGGGATTGCCTCTACTTTCTTTAGGTCCATTGCTCTTACATTCCTCAAGTGGTACTGTCTTACCTTGATGTTGAAGGGAATGTGGGAACTTGTTTAAGACAGTTTAGAAGAATGTATATAGGTCGTAATTTTAAATTTGTGTCTTTCCCTTAGGGATGTATTTTTGGCCTGGGTAGCCTCCAGAAATTCAAACACCGTGGTATTTGTGAAATAGTCTTTCCTGTTCTCCAAGCCAGTGAAGATTTATCTGCTGAGAAGAAGTCCAAGAGCCTGTTTTTGAGACACAAGCTGGGCTTCTGGTAGTGCCTGATCTCAACTCACCATGGTCCTTTATGCCCCCTGCCTCCCCTTTCAGAGGCAAAGCTATGGAGCTGGGTTATTGAGTTTGCTGTAGTCTGTAATGCTTTTTACTTTCAACTGCAAGCAGAAATATCAAGATAGTAGCAAAGGAAAAGGTGAAGGGCATATAAACGAGCCAATCATAGGGATGGTAGGGGTGGTGGGGTGGTTTGAGGAAACAGTATAACTGTCGTAGGACTTACCTAAAATATTAAAATGATGGGAGAGGACTTGGCTTTGAGCCTAGGAGAAAACACTGTGTCCATTTAAAAGGGATAAGAGGGATAAGGGTATAGTACAGTGGTAGAAGGGCCCTTGAGTTCAATCCTCAGCACACGTAAAACAGGATAAAAGGTTTCATCAAACATACCTCCTTAATAGCTAAGTGTATTGGCACATGCCTAAAATCCCAGCACACTCAGGAAGCTGAGCAGGATGATCACCAAGTTTGAGATCAGCCTGAGCAACCTAGTGACTTAGCAAGACCCTGTCTCAGACAAAACACCCATTGAACCACCATCAATAAATACAATGATGGGTATGCATAATCCCAATATTCAGGAGACTAAAGCAGGATAACCATAAATTCAAGATTGGCCTGAACTACAAAATGAGACCCTGTCTCAAAAAAAGGGAAAAAACCTGTTTTGAGGAGAGTGGTTTGTGACACAGGAACATGGAACTATAGAGAAAATAACATTGCCCAGGAGGTTCTTGTTTATTTCTCTTCAGTATTTCTATAGTTATTATACTCTTCTGATTTGTTAGTACAGTTTATCAGAGGTAGAAGTGAAAAGCCCCTAATTTAAAAGAGATTCTACTAAAGTCTAAAGAGTTTGTATTCCGTTTGATGAAATACCGTCTAAATAACAGGCCAGAGCTGTTTTTAATTTAAAGGCTAATTGTCTATGGCACTTAACCTGAGCTTATTTTTCTTGGAAACAAACTACCAAATAATAGACTAGCAAAGCCACATGTTTGTAACAGGATAGCAAGTTTAAGGCATGATATATATCCCCAGAGGGGACAATATTAAGTGAAAGTCAAAATTCCTACCTTGAGAAATGCTATCCTAGGGAACTCCCTTCTTACTCAGCTACATTCATGTACTAATCGCTAACCATTTTGATCCTACAACAGTCCTCTTTTGTAATGATCAGGATGTCACTGCTTTCCATGCATTTATTCACTTTCAACACTCACAGGGACCTAATGAGGTAGGTAACAGTCCCAGAGTTGCACAAGAACACACTTATCAAAGGGCAGAACTAGAAATCCACCTTAAGATCCCAATTATAATACAAACCTTTATTTAAATAAAAGAAAACAGTTACTGTACAAATACTGACTCTTCAGATACATGCACTTGCAGGGCCATGGCCCTGGATGCTCAGCTCTGTAGGCGTGTCTATAAATTCTTGGGTTTAGAGATGATTCCATCTGGATACCTTTGCTTGAACCGTGCAACAACATCTGGATCTAATAGGTGGATCCCATCAAGTTGGTTTCCAAGGGTGATCCTGAAATGGGGAAAAGGGAGCAAACCAGAAATCTTGGAATTAAAGGATTACTATATAATTAAAGGGTGTATGCTTTTTATTAAGACTGCCTAATCTCATGAGAGACACACATCAATTCTTTTTACAATACTGTAACATTAAAATAGTATCTGTAGTTAAGACCTGGCACAGATGTTGAGTCAGGTGCAGCAGTATGTTATTACTGAGGAGACCTGCCACAAGTACAAGACCAGCCTGGGCTACACATTAAGACCCTATCTCAAAAAACAAAATGAAACCCAGAACGCAAGTACAGATGTGATGGTAAGACGAGTTTGCAAGGCCAGGGATTTAGCTCAGGGCATAAGCGCCTGCCTGGCAAGTGTAAGGTTGTGAGTTTAATTCAGTGCCAAAAAACAAAACAAGCTTGCAGCTGGGCATAATAGTATATGCCTATATTCCCTACTACTCGGGAGTAGGCTGAAATGGGAAGGTACTTCAGGATGTAGCTCTGGTAGGGCACTTGCCTACTATGCACAAAGCCCTGGGTTCAATCCCAAGGACTCCCCATCTAGGCAACAAAAAGTGGATAATCAACAGGTTAATAACTGATAATCTAATCAGGCCTGTTTCCGACAGGTGCTGTGAGTATTCTTTCCATAAATAAAATGTTGGCAGCACGTCATTTAAAGGAGTGGAACCACCAGGGGGCAGATTCAGTACATGCCATAGGATGGTTGAGGAAGAGCCTTAGGCTGGAAGGCTGCAGACAACTATAGCAGCTAGAAGCTCACTCAGGACTGTTGAGGCCAGTTGGGGTACAGTCTTTTAAAAAAAAAAAAATTGTGAACAGTGCTTAGAGTCCTAGATCTGAAGTTTCCAGTGAATTGCATAATCACAAACAGTTTAAATGCAAGCTTAAAACACTTAAATCCTCTGAAAGCCCATTTATAGACTAACAATGTGAGGTAAGGTCATACTAATTTTTCCTTGAGTAGTTTGTGCCATAGAACCTAGACCAGTGACAATAAACCTTTTAGAGCTTTCCATGACAACAGCCTGCTGTGGTATGCCAGCCACAGATTTGCCACCACCAGCCCAGCCTGTTTCCCATGTCCTTACCAGTTAGGTTGCACATTGTGTGGGCGTCCAAATAACTCAATCTTGCGAGTGCCAGGGGACAGTCTTTCAATCATGCCATAAATTTCATCTGGTTTATGACTAGTAGAACGAACCTAGAAAACAAAGACTAGTTTTTAAGTCAGCCACGATTACAGATCTACCTTGTATAATCTAAATCTAATCTGGAATGAATACACGTGACAAAAATGTTAAAGTTTCAGGTGACTTACAAAGCACGTACCTCAGCTACAATCACGTCACAATCTAGACCCTGGTTGAAGCCTTGAGGATTGCCTTTGACACCAACCTGCTCACCACAGAGAAGAGAATTACCTTACAAAACCATACTTTTGAACTTTCTCTATTAAAAAAATATTCCTGTCACAGTTTTAGGTCCTACTACTGCTTACCAAGCAGTGCTCCTTTCCATGGTTCAACCAGTGGCCTGTACGACCTGTTCGAATAATGCGTTGCAGTTGATTTGTCTTCACCCAGATAATTTCATCTACACGTTCGTAACTGTGGAGCAAAAGAGAACTAGCACTTTACACATTCATAGTAGCGGGGGGGGGGGGGGGGGGTGTTACCATCTACAGAGGAAAGGTATCACAGGACTACTCTGGGAGAAGGGAACATTACTCCTCACAACTGTATCAATACAAATTTCCCTCAAAGTAATACAACTGCTACTTACCCCCAGAGGTTCAGACATTCTCTGCCCAACTCCATGGCTCTAGAAAGGAAAGAAAGATGAAACAATTTACTGCCCATTTGGTCATTTTCCCTTCAACACATCTGATGTAGACTTCAGGAACTCTTTTTTTTCCCCAGCATGTGCAATGAACATTTGTAAGATACCATTAGGACAACAGGATGAATCTAAAACATAAAAGTCACATACAGTGGCACGTGATTTTATTGGCAACACTTTGGAAGGTTGAAACAGGATCACAAAGGCCACCTGGGCCCTTGGCAGGATCCTAGCTCAAGATTTTACAAGAGCTGATGATATAGTTCAGTAGTAGAGTGCTTGTCTAGCACATACTGAATCCCTGAGATCAATCCCCAGTACTGTGGAGAAAAACACCTGTTCTCAATGACCCTATCTTTCTCAAGAACAAATGTAGTATTAATAGAATTCAAAAATATTTGAACTATTAAGGCTCCACAGGAAGGGGAAAAAAATTCTAAATCAGTCATTTAATAGCAGGACTTAGAGACAACTTGGGATTTTATCTTCCACCTGATACACTATGTACTACATGTGCCAATTTGTGCAAATCTTTAACTGTATTACCTGCCTGTAACCCAGAGGAAGAGAAAGCCATCGTCCTGGAGTACTGGTATGTTGAGCCTGCGCATCTCATCATCTGTCAGGGTCCCGTAGGGCAGCTCCATGTGAATATCCCAGGGTGGGTCAGCCATGACAACTGCAAACTTGCCCAAGATACTGACGTCCAGGTAGCGAATATCACAACAGATCCACTGCACGAGGTGGTATTTGGTCATCTTCTGCTCCTCCACTCTCAGATCCATGGCCCCAGTCCCTCTTGTGCATTTGATTTTCTTACTCCCTTGAGTGTATCTATCCCACTCCATCCCAGTCAGCAAGACAAACTGCTGAATTATGCCCTGCTTTCCTTACATGTATGGCTGCCCCAGTCAGACATAAGTCCACAAACTGAGATGAGTTTTCTGAGCAGACAGTACCTGAGGTGGGAAGAGTCGATCTGCACTGGAATCACCACCAACACTCTGTGTGAGCGCAAGCTCCTGGCTTGGTGTATGATCATTGCTGCCAGAACCTTCAGAATCCATGCACGCATCAATTTCATAGTGAACATATTTGCAGGTATCCATGTGGAAACATGTGTTAAGGAAAGAGCAGTCACCTAAAGACTCATCAGTGTGTTTGTTGATAATACGTCTGGGAAAATAAAAAGGAGAAATCAGATCAAGATGGTGTTACATGGACAGATCTTACAGTTCAAGTTCCAATTATTAAAGTTTCCTCTTTTTTTGACCCTCCTTGTGTTTTCTCTAGTGTTAGCACGTCTTCCAAGAGTTTTAAGAAAAGGGAAATAAGTGACATGGAAATCCATAATTCAATTAAAGAGCAAAGACTTTGCCTCTTCTTAACAAAAATATAGTCCAGAAAGAAGTTGGTTGATTAGAAAATAATACCTTGGTCCAAGAGCCCTGGTTCCTGTTTCTCCTACCATGACCATCCACAGAATTTCTATGTATCAGAAGAGATGCCTTGCTAGGAGAATACTTAAAATCTAATCTACTTGGGAGTGCAGCTTATATTTCTTCACACATGATGCCACTTCTGAGGTTTACTTTCAGAGTCTAGAGAACTTAATAATAATAAACTAAGTAACAGATTTACAGACAGAACCCTGATGACAGGAAGGAAAATACTCAAAAGGCAGGACTGCTGCTGAGAAACCCATCCCACCTCACTGCTCCCCAGAGACCTGAAGTGTAGCTTGCGGCAAGGTCGATCAGCATCGCTGGCCTTCATGCACTCTTCCTTGGTCCCATAGTCACAAAATTCTTGCACTTGGGCCCGACCTCGTGAGCGAAACTTTTCAACAATGGATTGTTCCTTGGCTGTTGTAGTATTTAATAGTTCTAGGATCTCCTGACTGACCTGTGACAGAAGCAGCATTGGTCTTAAAAGGGTTTATAGATCAAATCAGCTCTTAAACCCCTTCTGCAAATCTCATTTGATATTAATGTCCAGTAAGGGATAAATGAGCTAACAATATAGGGTGTCATGCATTTAGGCTTTGCTAAGGGATCTACTTTTAGGATAGAATTAAACTCCAGGAAGCTTGGTTCTTACTGCTGAGCATTAAGCTATTACACCATCATCAAAAACAAAACAACTCCTATTTTATTGGTGCTAAGGCAAGGCACAAGGCTAATACTCAGAAACTACTCAAGAGGTCAGTAATGGAGGATGCTCTGGTTTTTCTCATGTTACTCATGAGAGGGACTAAGCTCAATAAAGTTAACGTTCACACTCACAAAATTAAAGGTAGCAAACAAGAACTCGTATCATTCTAATACCCAGAACCACTATTTTGCATATATGTGCTGTTTAAGTATTAATTTTCCTAATTATTGGTCCAAATGACTATTACCCATTCCTCTTTTTACACTTGTATACTGGATTTCTCTCCTCTTGATCTGAGGATGCTTCCAGACAGATTCAATGACAGGAATCTCTCCATTAGTGTTTCTTGACACTGGCATTACTGACATTTTGGACCAGACAGTTCTTTGTGGTATGGGGCTGTTCTATGCAAGGTAATATGATTAGCAACATCACTGGCTTCTTCCTACAAGTTGCCAGTAGAAATTTCCATGTTGTGACAACAGAATTTTCTCCAAACATTGCCAAATGTCTTTAAAGGAACCTAGGTATGGGGCGAAATCATGCTCAGCTGACAACCACTGCTCTGACCCTCAATTCTAAGAACTGCTCTTTGCCCTAAGGGTAAATCCTTCTCAAGCACAGCTACAAAAGGAGCCCATCAGGAGTGTTTTTATGGCCCTACCTTCTTGCTCTGTTGTTCCTTTGTAGACTGTTGGTTCAGAAGGCTTTCTATCTCCAGATCAACATCTGAGGCAGCATGTTTCCTGGATTTCTTGGCTGGCTCCTTGGCTGGTTCTGATGCTGAAGAGGCCAGACCAGAGGCTAGAGAGCTGGCAAAGGCAGCCACTGTGGCTGAGTCCTGTTCTGCTCGCCGCTTCTGCCCTGTGACAGTCCCTGCTACCTCCCCGGGGCCTTTCTTTTCTGCTACGGCACCCATCATTGCAGAAAGCTTGGAATGGTCAGCATAGGTCACAAGAGTGGGATGCGCATCGTCTTGTAGAAGCCCTCGCTTTACCTCAATCAACTCCTGAGCCGCAAACTTCTGTAGAAGGCTTTCCACTCCATCTTGAGTGGC